AGACAAACCACACACATTGAGGATATTTTTAAGCCTTAGCATTTATTTGCGGCCAGTTGCCCTACGAACTAAGTAACTTAACAAAGGTCCTCTCATACTCTATAATATCATTACCCAAATATGCGCATTTCAAAACTATGTTCAAACTATATACAAGGTAGAATGCTTTTTTAAATACGTCATACACGGTATGACTTGCTTCGTGTTTTCAACAATGAAAAAATACTCCGCTTATGGCAAAAAATATATAGTTATATATTACAAGAAAATCTAGACGGAAAATATATTAAGCTATGCCGGGATAAACCATTGTCGCACTCTCCTATGGCCGCCTGTAGCTTATCTTTGATGAACCCTATAGAAGAATAAGAAACAAAGGACTATTTAGAAGTGTCAATTATTATTACGATTCGATGCATTTTTTTCTTCCCTTTCCATTGGCCGAGAGCCCACCTCGTGACCTGCAAATAACTGCCTACAAATAATGGTCCGCTCATGCCTAGTACCGTTTACACGTGTTTTCCTGCAAATAATATTCTGCTCATGCTTAATTTTAACCATGCTCTCAGGTGAAAAATGGCAGATGTTCCCTAACCTGTCAGAGAGTAATTTTAACATGAAAACAAACTTGTGATCGAATGACAAAACAATTATTGAACTTGGTTATCGCATAAAACCGAAAACCATTGACCGAGGCGAAATATCGAGGCCTAGGAACTAGGCAAGTTCGATCAGACACTACCGAATTTGTTCGAAAGAACTTTGGGCTCGAAGATTGAGAGTAATAAATGATTAATGTCAAAGAAATTTGAAGCTATAAGCTTTGTTGACTTTGCAGTTTAATTTTAAGTACTGCTTCTATGGTGCTATCTGTTTGCAATGATATATTGTATAGTCTTTCATAGTTAAGCTCGATTAATTTTATCTGGGTTCCTTGCCGTACTTTTTCTTGGCTTATTACAGCGACGATTTTCCCGCCAAGTTTTTTTTCAATTAATTTTTTCCCGCCAATTTATTGTACTGAAAGGATTTCTTCAGGAAAAAAATACCTCTATGTATGAAATTCAATACCCAGGCAAGAGAAAAAACGAGCTTTGAAAGATCGAAAATGGAAACTGTCTTTATGAATGCTCAAATTCTCCCAAATAATACTAAAGAAATATATAGAGACTTGTAATGAGAATGCATACATTGACTTAAATGTTTAAGGGTTACTATGCCATAAAATTTCAATTCTCCCAAATAGTCCTATAAGGAAATTATGGAGGTAAGTAAAGAGAATTTGTTAACTGACCTCAGAGTTCCTCTTTCTCTTCCAACAGTCTGGATTGATTCTCTTGTGCTCATCCGCCAAGAGCTTGGCTTGAATAACATACTCTCTTCTGTCTTCCTGTTTCATGGCTTTCCACTTGTCTCCTAGAATTACGCTGATTGCTCTGGAAAAAGTAAACATTAAACTTCTTTCAGGCCAATTTCCACAATTTAACAACACAGTAATTATTAAAAGTCGCGTTGAACTCCCGATTGAGCGGTCTGGGCTCGAGCCCTGGCCGGGCCCATCGCGTTGTGTGCTTGGGCAAGAAACTTTACCCTCACAATGCCTCTCTCTGCCCAGGTGTATAAATGAGGACTAGAAAATTTAATGCTGGGGGATAACCCCGCGATGGACTAGCATCTCAAACAAGAGGGAGTAGAAACACTCCTAGTCGCATCACACTAAAGTAGAGATAGTAGGCGGCCACAACGCTCAAAAAGAGAGACTACCTTTAACTTAATGTAGGTTAAGAAAGTCTTGATTGAGTTAGTTATTCACCTGACAGACTTGTTCCCCCGTCTAAATGCAGTCAGGTTAAACGTTGGTTTACCCTCTTTTAAGTCTATAGCAATTTTGACAATTTTGTGACAAACATACTCTCTCTCAACCACAAAACAGGTCTATCTTATACTTCCTTTCACAAAATGTAAATTTATCAAATTTAATAAATAAGACAAAGAGAGCATCCTCGATTCTCTCCTGATTAAGGCAATTACAGGTATAATCTGTGTTATAGCTTCTGATTGGCTTAAGGCCCACGTGTCAATATGATACGCACTCTAAGGGTTTACCTGTTATCTTTACCAGGGTGGGCCTGGGTTATTTCCACTCGAAAGCGTTTAGCAAACAACATGAATGCGTTCATTGGCCTCTTGGTAAACTGATTTGTGTTGTTTCTTTTCACTGGGCTTGAAGGACAATGAGACTCTGACAGAAGCTTGGTTCGGCGGTGGCTGTGTTCCTCTTTATCCTGTCATTAATATAAAACGTTGTCTAACCTTAAAAGAAATTTTCTTGTTGTGAAGGATTACGTTCTTTTATTTGAATGATTTTTTGTTTCAGTGTGGCAGCATCTCGCAATAACTTTGATTCAGAAACTTTGGCCTTTTCAGCTGAACATACAATTCTTTTTTTCTGCAAAACCATGGAATTAGGTTATTTCACGCTTCCTTAAAGACTACTGAGGACCAGTGAGGAATGTCAGTGCTGCAAGATGTGTAGTGCACATGCAAGGGAATTGAATGGTAACCTGGAGTAACGTAACGTAACGCAACGTAACGTAACGTAACGCAACGCAACAATTGAAATTAGACTTGCTTACCCCCATTTTGAACTATGACAAGTAATTTTAACCCTAATGAAATCTTTTTGAGACCCTTCCCTCAAACTGACTTATCTCTGGTACCAAACTGGACAGCTTATAAAGGGCTACGCACGTCCAAATTCCTTTATCTGGTTGTGAAATCCGTTAGAACATACCTTAGCCATGCTGCTAAGTGTAAGTGCCGCTGTTGAATCCATAGCAGTGAATTCAGACCTACAAAATATGTAAAAAAGGTTTGTAAACAAAATGTGGCACAAAGGAGAAATATCAAAGATTAAGAGAGAGGTTTGAAGACAAAATTCCAAGTGGACTTACGATTTTTGGTCGCCTTCACGTTGTGTTCCGTTAAAACGTCCAAGAACATCTGAGTCACATGGCAACACACAAACGTCACCCCTTTGTAACATATGACAGCTTATCCCATAACGCAATTCAGTGGCAGCAGGATTGAACGAAGCCCAGCTTGGCCTGTCTGTTCCCCTGACAAAGAATGGATGGTCGGCGAAGATCTCTGCCTGCAGGCTCGTTTGGTCGTTACACGATTTAAAGGAGACGAGCATTCCTGCTAACAAATCAATCAATCAATCAA